CAAATTGTTGTATTTCCTTAATTGGACACTGAACGTTTCACTTCACAACTTCTCTGGGAGCGTTCCACTAAAACACAAACCGCTTCAAGCTAGACACTTGAAGATTTATACTGTTAGTTACGATTTGTGTTTTAGTAGAACGCTCCTAGAGAAGTTGTGAAGTGAAACGTTCGGTGTCCAATTAAGGAAATACAACAATTTGGTGTTATAAGGTCGTTTATTTCTTATATTCAATTGGTATTTTGTTGTGTTTATTGAACTGGAGCCTAGTCGAGGTCATGCTTCTTTCATTTCGTAAATTTGGGATATACTAAATATATCAATATTTATGTCGCCATTTTTATTTCAAAAATTAATATGATTTTTTACGTTTTTTGCACTTTCTGTATTTTATATCTTTATCGTTTTTAATTTATTCTTGTATACACTCTTATGAAAAATATAAACAAATCAAATGTACTTGAAAAACATCAACAAACTGATTATTTACAAATCAAATTCACCCACCATATTTGATAAATTAACTTTACATGATTTTCACAGATGATCAGTTTCATGATAGTGTTGTTTTGGTCATTATTCTGTTATACATGAGAGGTCAAATGAACATAACAACGTTGTTTGAAGATCTAAATTCACAGAGAAATTAAAATGAATGTTATATTAATGAAAAATCAGAAAAATTGTTAATTTATTACTCAACCTGCAGTGAAAGCTGAAGGGAAACCAGAATTCTCGTGCCAGAATCGATCACCTCGTTTTGAATTGGCGAATTGGCGAGCTATGATACAAGCGAAGGTTGGACCAATCATAGCTCCCGGTAGGCGGCGCTCTGTCACTCCTCCACTCCATAGGTCGATATCATCGGGATGTCTAGGTTGAAATAATATGAAAATAGAAAGAACAAATGCTATTGTTTAACATGAAATATATTTTTGGGAAATAAATGAAATCGTTTTGAGAGACAGAGAGAGAAAAAAAAGCGTAAGCTAATGTTTCGGCCGATCTAAGACGATCCAAGGCCACGTAATCCTTTATCCCTCTAAGGCCTAAGCGATTTTAGAACAGGGATACCATTATTGACACATAAAAATTTCTTACTTTAAATGATGAACTGCTTTAACCAACAGTACATAACATACATATATGCGTGAGTTTATAACATTCGTCTTGATTATTTAGCGATGTACACAGTACGTAATAAAAATAAATGACATTTCTTTGGTTGTACCGTCATGTTAATTGCTGAACAGTTAAGGTTTAAATTATAACTTCAGGAAAACGTGATTCAGCATCTCGTTGTAAGTTGTTGGATTTTTAATCTTGCCTTCAGCTTTCAAGATGTTTTTTTTTATACAGTTAAATAGTAAAATAGTTTACAAAGCTCTGATGAATTGTTTTTTTACCGGTTTTTGTATTTTAAGATTTGATCACGTTGAAACTTACTTGTATATGCTACTTAGATATGAATGGATATATTTCCGAACATGTCCAAGTGTATCGTATCTCTCGTTAAGGGCTTAAGATATGATAATAGAATTCAAAACGGTACTTTTATTGGTAAATATTTGAATAAGATAGTTTATCATCACTTCGACTTCGTGTAGAAATGAAACACAACTGCAAAGCGTTTGACAACAGTGACGATATTAAATATTTTACATTATAATCAACTTTATGAAACAATAATGGATCAGCAATATACCATAAAAGGTGTTTAACGATCAGAAGTAATCAGAAAAAGAAAATTTAGCTACAAAGGTTAGATTTTATTTCAATTATAAAGCTGAGTCCAATAGATAGCTGAAACTTTCTGAAAGAGGGACTAAGTGTAATTTTAAAACTGATTGTCTAGTATCCAACACACAAAGATAAGACCGGATACAGTGGTGGAAAATATTATTACATCACCCAATTTTGTCATATTTTCTTTGGAATCGTCGTCTTTTTGATGCCCTAATACAAGTAGAAGCAAGTGTGTTTCATGGATGAAGCAATACTGTCTAATTATTACATCAGTAGATTTTGAGGCTGCCTGGGTATCTAATCAACTGTTTTTGGCCTACTAATAGTCAGTTTAGAAACATATATGCTACAATGGGCGTGTGACGCCACCATGGCTATAGGTTCGATGACGAGGAACCCACTTTGAGACTAATAATGGCTGGAGACGGCTTGAATGGGTAATGAGAA